CAGACATGCATCATGCAGCATACTCACCACGATATAATACACAGGTTTAACGTTGAATAAGTCAATACACTTATAAATCACCGGGAATGACACCAAATCTGTCACAAAGTATGAGACCCTAATATCACTGTCTTCCTTGAGTCATCACTCAAAATAATTCCAAATTACATATGAAAAATATAGATTCTCATCATCATCTGATAACAGTAGAAGCAAAGCATAATCTCTTTCACTGTCAGGGGCGATTTTTAGTTCAAATAACCTCACACATAATCATTCGCGAATTAAGGTCACATCATAAAGACGCTGTTTCAGTGCTTACGATAACATATGAATTACTATTAGAAGATAAATCATAATAAAGAATATGGTATGACTGCACTTACCTACAAAAATCTTCGATTATCCTGGGGATAAATAGACCAGAATCAAGCATGGATCAATCGTCAAAGTAAAGTCGACGAAATGGCACGGAGAGTACAATTGGCGCATAAACGCCCTCACCACGTGATCACTGTTCGTCGCGTCAATGTCACCATAGACGGCGCTCTTTACTAACATTACTTACACAAGCTGTAGTTCGTCATTGGTCGTCGCAATGCGTTATTGATCGTCGCAATGCGTTATTGATCGCTGAAATTGGTTATTGATCGTCGCAATGCGTTACTGATCGTCGCAATGCTTTATTGATCGTCGCAATGCGTTATTGATCGTCGCAATGCGTCATTGATCGCCGCAATTTGGTTATTGTTCGCCGCAATGCGTCATTGATCGTCGTAATTGGTTATTGATCGTCGCAATGCGTCATTGATCGCCGAAATTTGGTCATTCTTCGCCGATTGTATATATGGGCCACCGTATCAAACAGTGGGTCGAGCTCTTGACTGTGACTTCCGGGTTCGCATGGCTTCTTCTATCGTGCGGACATTTTCCGCAGTCACATCTACGCATTCTGTCTTTTTCAGTGCTATTTTGGCGCGTCTGAAATTTCGCAAGAGACAATTTTGAAAAAAGAACACTATGATTCTGCTCGAATTGGCAGATTCGCTATATATGGGTTTTCCTGCCACGGTCCTGTGAACCATATATGGGTGCACTTCATCGAGAGAGTTCTACCAGGCACGTCGATGAAAACTATTATAAAGAAGGTGTTGATCGGACAAGTAACAATCAACCCAGTGTTGACTTCAGCATTTTACGTAGGTAAGTAAACAAGACACGTCGCGCAACGTGAACCTTTCGTCGACAGATTGCCAATCCGGCGATAGAAACTGATTAGGTTAGGGAGATTTGGGTTGAGAAATTCTTTCACCAGGCTGAAAACAAATCTAGCCAAATCTGTATGTATACTGTTAAAAAACTGAAGAAAAAAACTCCTCTCTTAGCTCCTCTCCTCTCTTTCAAATGAGATATTTTTTTTTATAACTCTTGGGCAAAGCATATTGCGTTGATATATTTAAATCATTTTTACCTTCATGATTTAATGACCTATTTTTGGAAATACAAAATACCAACGATTTCTCTTAATCACAACAAACATTAAATAAAGCTAATTAAAATATATTTGGTAAACAATAAAAAAAAAATGATTTGTTTGTACATTCTCAAATTTTCATTCAAAATTGGTACATAGACAAAACACATTTATGTAAGTTTTATAAGCGCACCTATTTTTAAAATCACGTCTAGAGTAGATTTATCTGCAAAAATTTAACGGTATATTATATAAGCAAAATTTACATCACAAATAGGCAACAAGTTTTGTAATTTCATACTTGCATCTAAAACACATTACATGGGCATTGAGTGTACGACTCTCTTTGGGGAAAATTTTGGTAATTTAAAGTTGCATTTCAATTTTGTACATTTGTGAAACATCAGTCCCAGAAAAAGCTCAACATATAAAATGTATAAAAAATATTTTTTTTTTTTAATTATTTTTAAAATGGTTTGGTATATTGAAAGTAAATGTCTTGCCCTTTCATTGTTTTCACACATTTCTTATTCCTTTGACAAACATACCTAAAATTTAACTTACCGGTATGTTACCGTAAAGAAATAAAGCCTTTTACCTCAATGAATACTGTAAAATACTATTTTACCTAGAATTAATTTTTGCTGAAAAGACTTTTAGGGTGTTTATATGGAATTTATTTTCAATGAGTTGAATGTAAAATATAGAAAAAAAGGTATATTCGCTGGAATTTATTTTCACTGAATCAGTCCTTCAGTGAAAATAGCAAAATTAATTTCAAGCGAAAATAAAGTATTTTACAGTAGTTCATGAACAACTCTTTAGCACAAGCTAAGTGGTCAAAACGTTAGCCTGCTAAGAAAATGTGTGTGAATGCTGACTCATTTTTACGATCCAGTTACGACCCTTAGCACAGGCCAACAATGTGTGTGAAAAGGTTTAGCTCAGACGCCTAAAATGCCATTATATTCAATGTCCATTTGAAAGATTTACTAATGTTTTTATTTCTGACATAAAATTCAATGTGAGCACATCCAGAGATATTGTTCTCGAGAAAAAATGGAGTTAAACAGACTGAAGATTCTTAACAAGTTTGGGTGTTCCTTTGTTCATGCTAACCAGTTTCCTCCCATCATGGAGCTTCCATGCGTGAACACAATTGGGTATATGCGATATACAAACAAACATGATTAGCTTGAATCTTCGCCCGTATTTTGTGTAGCATTAACATGACTCTTGTCTATTGATTATAAATCTAAGTTAAATTCATATTCTGCAGTTAATTTCTCCTATTACCAATCTACAATCTCAACATTTTATGGTGATACCCCGGTAGTATCGGTATATAGGGGATCAGGTTTACAAAGTGTGAATGCATACCGGTAGTCAAAACTATGTCAGAAACTAATGTCCCCAATATATACTATGTAGTATTAATTATGTGAAATTGTGGACAAAATTATGGTATATAAAATAATAAATGTATGTGATGTTGGCACATTACAAAATACTCATGAATTTCAGTGTTGCGTACATTGGCAAGTTTATAAAAATAAGTCAATGTCGTTCCACCTTCCATGTTCATACTTGTTCATAATGTAAATTATATTTTTGTTTTTTGATGATATGTAATAGCATCTTGTAAATGCCAGTTTTAAAAATCAAAAATAACTTTCATAACATTAACATGACTTTGGGCACCTAAAAGTGTTGTTAACAAATTGGGATGTTGTTACAAGCATTAGCAGATAGATAGTACTGGTAATAAATTACTATGTGATCCAAGAAGTGCCCAGTTCAATTGGCTTTGGAGATGTAAAAAATAAATTAATGTAAAGAATGAATAGAAAGCTAAAAACAAACTAATATATACTGACAGAAATGTGTTTCCATCATATTTCACAGTTAGCACAGCGCTGTATGAAAAAAAATAAAATATCCCCCCAAATTTCAACCCATAATCCTTTGCAAAATTCAAGATGGTGAAAACAAATTTCTGTCTTTGTGTGTACTAGTAGTAGACAATATTTGGTCTCTAATATCATAGTTGCCAGAAACACAGTCTATTTATCACATGATAGAAGTCAACTTATGTATCACATGTTTTATTTGCCAAGTTTAGTTTCCAGTTGTATTTTATAAATTTATTTATAAAAGTTACAATTCAAACTGAAACAAGTGGTTTCTATTGGCTGATTGAATAATATTGAAATATATGTAATTGCATGTGTACATCATTTTCCAGGAATTAATCTACTGGAAGGTAAACATGATTTATTTGAAGAAGTCAGAGAAAAATTTGGAACCACTTACGCTGCCAGTTGGGTGATTTGGCCAGTTGCAATGGTGAGTACTTTGTATATCAAGAATAAACAGATTTTGAGTTCCGTCGCAACCTAAGAATCTTGTGCACTCTAGTGTACAAATATTAAGATTGTGTCTGTGTAGGGGGGGGGGGGGATTTCACCATGCAAATGTTTGATAGCTCTTCAGAACGCCAATAACCAGGGAAACCAGCAAATGCAGCTATTTCAACATTGCAGGAGATGCTGAATTGTTTGAGTTATGGACATCGAGTTATGGACATCGAGTTACGAACATTGAGTTACGAACATTGAGTTACGAACATTGAGTTACGAACATCGAGTTACGAACATCGAGTTACGAACATCGAGTTACGAACATAGAGTTACGAACATAGAGTTACGAACATTGAGTTACGAACATTGAGTTACGAACATTGAGTTACGAACATTGAGTTACGAACATTGAGTTACGAACATCGAGTTACGAACATCGAGTTACGAACATCGAGTTACGAACATCGAGTTACGAACATCGAGTTACGAACATCGAGTTACGAACATTGAGTTACGAACATTGAGTTACGAACATTGAGTTACGAACATTGAGTTACGAACATTGAGTTGAAAACATCGAGTTACGAACATTGAGTTACGAAAACATTGAGTTACGAACATTGAGTTACGAACATTGAGTTACGAACATTGAGTTACGAAAACATTGAGTTACAGAAATTACCACACCCATATTTTTGAACCACGCTTTTGTTAAACCATGCCCAAATTGTAACTCGGTGATCAATTAATAGTTAACAGAACTTTGAGTTATGGGCAACATACATTTTGTTTTTTTGTTAAACGCCCAGATTCATTAATTCAAACTTTAAATAATAGTTAACCAAACTTTGAGTTACGGGTTTTGTTTACCTTTCAAATTTTGCCCGTTGGGCGAAGGTCTTTACAAGGTCACATGTTCATTGTGTGTGTAGCGAAGTTGTGTAACATCGCATGTCAGAAAGACACCCCCCCCAGCCATCATTAATATCACACCAAGGGTATTTCAAGGTAGCCACCTTGCAGCCAAAAGAGCTCTGCTGTAATTGTTAACTGTAAGTTGGAAACGTAGGGTGGCGTGATGTTAAAGCTGAGCTCTTTCAGCCGCAAGGTCGATTGTTTTAATAGTCGTTTTCAGTTTCTGAAAACTACACATCAAGCATTCATATCAAAGGCGACGTACTGAAGTATCAGTATTTCACACAGATCTTCATTGAAATTTTTGAAAAAAATACAAATACATGTGGATTTGTGGTTAAAATTAATGATAGATTTATATTGACTTTTTGTATTTCAGTTCATTACATTCAGATTGGTACCACCACACTACAGACCAGCCGCCATTGCTATCACTGGATTCGCATGGGCAAATTTTCTCTGCTACATGAAAACCTTTGTAAGTCAAAAAGTAATTATTGAAGAAATAGTTTGCTCTAATATTGGATGACAAAACTTTGAAACTTATTTTCTCTAGGGGAAACATGTCAGAAAACTCTCATAGATTAAGGGGTAGATGATTATATTCTCTAAGAATAGAAATAAATTGTTTCTTTCACATGGATTAACAGGATTATATTGTGGTTTCATCAAATGTATCATTTTATTTTGAAGTATAGTTTTATTTCCCCTTGTACATCCCCCTTTTCTCATTTCAAGTGGTCAACTTCGGAATCTTGAAGCATTTCCAAAACTTGTAGAGAGCTTCACATCTGGACTACATATTATAGCTCATTCGCTGTATTTTTACTGAAAGGAGTATCACATACCATAATATTTTAAAGAGAACTCTCAACTGCTTGCAACCAGGGAGCTGTAATGAGACTCATTACAGCTCCCTGTTGTAACTAACTTCAAATTGTCCTTGAAAATGAAGGCCACTTATTATTAATTTTCAAACCAATGCATCGAAGACACAATTGCAATACGATCATATGGTGACCCAATTTTCTCTTCTTTGTTTGCAGAATATGCACAGGACAGATTTGAAACCATTGGGAAGCTCAACAAAACTGAGTTCTGTTGATGCTGAAAGAATACTTATACCAAATAAATGCAGTGCTCTGAAACAAGAACCTACAATTTAGAATTTAGGTCAATACAAATTTGAGATTTATAGTTTCCACTTCAAATTCAGGGAATGTACATTTGTAAATATAAACCGTGAGATTTTTTATTATACGATTATAGAAAAAATTAATATACTAATTTTTTCAAAAAAATTGTATAGATGAGCAACTACTCCATTTGCACATCTTTTTAAAGGGCTGTGGTCTTTGCACCACACATACATTGTGATGTATATGAACAAAGATGGTGACCGACAAGTACAAACTGAAATGTTACCAAGCTTTAACAGGATAATTTCTTTGGTGATTGGAGGGTATTGAAGGAGACATCAGACTAATTAGCATATATAATGTCTAGATCAAAAACTCATACTCACGATTTCCATTAGAAGAGCGCACATTGGATTGTAGAAAAATCAGTGTTTATCAACATAAATTTTGCACATGTGTGGCACGACGACCACTGCCCTCTAAGTTTGTAGGTGTTTCTGATACAGCATGTACATACATTCATCTTCAGTGTGCATTGAGTGCAATATTAACAATCTGACATTCCATGTGATGATAGGATAAAACAGCGACATTTTCGACCATGCGCTTAATTGTTTATAGTTAACCAATAAATTAGAATTTGGTTCAACCTGAATCTTTAAAAGTTAAGTGCAATATGCTTGCAATTGTTATGGAGAATATTAAGTGTTAATAGACCATTTTCTGTCCAGTGCATGCCAACATTATGCATGAAATTGAATGCAAAAACAGGACAAACAAAAGGTCATAACTTGGTAGTAGTGTCAAAACAAAATTATTTTTGGCACATTTTGCCGCTTAATAATGTGTTGTACACTTTTGATGATGGTCAATTTGGATGAAGTAAGGGTATACCAACACAATTTGTTTCTTTTGAAATATCAGCATTTCAACATTAGGCTATATAAAAAAAGAAATTTAAGTTCAATATCAAATCGATCGATTTTTGCATCAGACGATCGGGCTGCACATTTATGTAATATTTCACACTGAGCGGAAAATCACCTATTACGTAGTTGTACATACTCTGATAAAACTTTTTGTTTGAATATATGCACACGAGATGGAATTTATTATACACATGCTGTTTTTATATGGCTGCATGTGTTATCTACTGTGCTGCTATTCAATAGTCAATATAAAACCCTTTATCAAAGTATCATAAAATAACATGAGGGAATAAATCTGTCGCATTCGACTTATTTACCACTTATGTGTCACTGAGAATGTTCTAGAACCGTACTGTGTCTGGGTGGAATATTCTATATTTTTAGAAAATGATTGAATAGGTAATAGAACACTGTAGGAGGCAATAGAAGGTAATGGAACATTCTAGAAATTTGTAGTAAGTTCCAGACTCATTATGTATGCTGATGTAATGGTCTATTTATAGACAGTGGGGGTATATATAGGGGAGTTGTTCAGCACTGAGTTCAGATCGGAGATCTCGTTGAATTGTATTGAAGTTTAAGTATCTAGTTATTGGAGTAGTGGAGTTTTAACACATTATTGTACTTGATGTTTGCAGAGTATAATAATACCAGTACCAGTTGAAACCTCATCTGTTGGCTCCGTGTTTGTATGTTATCATCGCCGCCAGGGAAGTCTTTCTGTTACTGTTGCCATTTTGGTATTTGAACCATCACACCTGTACTATACCAATTACGGTAATATTACGTTGCGTGTGACAAAATCTTCTTATCACAAAGTATTTCCAAATTTATTCAGTGTTCTCACTTGCACAAAATGTCTTAGGTCTTTTAATTGTAAACGTTACTGACAAGGGCTGCAATCTTTGAGTCTGCTGGCCATGTGAGAACATCATGCGTCTTTTTTCCCTTGAAGGGCTGTGCTTGGGTTGGTCAAAGAAATCCTATTTTGACAACCAGGAAAATTTATGAAACTCGACTTGAGAAGTGAAAGATGTATACATTAGTATGAATGAGTGCAGTCATTTGCGTTTTATATGCCTAGCACAGGTGCTGTGTATCTTTGTTTGAAGAATCTAATGTAATTTAAGATATAGGTTTCACACTACAATTGTAATTTGTATCATGGAGTAGGGTCACGTTAGGACTTGTATGCATCCACCAATTAGAAAAAAGTATTTTAAACTGTTTTTTAATGATCAGGGAAAATTTTGGATTTTTATTTCCTCCAGAGATGTTATATTTTCAATAAATGGCACATGGTGAACTAAAATTGTCATTTGCAATAATTTTTGAAGCCGAGTACCCCAAGTCGAATGGGATTTTAGGGAAAACCACAAAAATTTTAAAAGAGCTATTACTTAGTTGGGTAAACTTTTCTGATATTTCAGTACCAGTGTAGTACCGGCAATATCAGACTTTCAACTGCTTGAGTACATCAAACTTACCGGTAGTCTAACTCTGTAACTAAGGATATTCCCAGCACCTGGTTGTATATTAGCTGCCAGCTGATTGTATGTTGGTGATTATTTTCCCAATCGAATGACCTGTATCCTCAGGGGCGGAGCTACGTCACAAGACATTGCTACGACTTGCACCACTGTACATGCATTTCTATGGGTTTTGTGTGCGCTGCTGTGGAACGCCGGTCGAGCCGGTGAAAATTCGAGAAAACAACACAAACTCAACTTTGAAGTAATCCCGAACAACCAAATTTATACATGTTACACATTTAGGGGTAATCTTGTTACACTGTTCAGGGAAGTCTCAACAACCATCCCAAAGTAGTTTTCTGCGAGTTTTTGGCCTTTGTTTTCACCGCCGCTGGTTGCCAGGCGGTGAAAATGCACCGATGTCCGCCCCAGAGGATAAATAGTCTTTCACATTCTGATCACATTGCAAAACAAATACAGCAGTCTCTATAAGAATTGTCCAAAATTGTAATAGCCAGTAAAAGGTTTTAGAGATAACAATTGCCAAAGGTACGAATGGGTAATTCATAGGTATGTGTATTTATTGGCTTGGATCTTTAAAAAAGCCATGCTTTCCAAGTTTTTTTACAGTGACATCTAAATGGCCTTTAATTAACTAAATTTAGTTAGTGGAAACTATCGGTATTTAATTTCTGAGCTTTGCACAGTGGTTAAATCAAGACATTGCATCATTTCCTGGTTTATGGAATGTTGAACATGATTGTAAAATTGAATTCATTTGTGGAAAACGGCATTATACACATGACTTTTCTTGATACCTTGCACTGAGTGGGTATGCTAGCTCTTTCATGAACCATTCCCAATGCGTTATTTTGGGAACAGTTTTTAAACTGTCGACTGGTTTTCCCATTCCAGAGGAATGTTGGGTATTACAGGTAAATTGTGTAGTCACAGAATATGAATGTGCCATATTATTACTAAAGTACTAAATTTATTTATAAATGTTATGATCCAGATGATTGGTAGAGGAATGGCAGGTACAGCTAAATAAAATAATTCTCCTTTTAATATCACCAGTTGTTCACTAGATAAGCAGATCAGCATAACCACACTATCAGAGTGCAGCAGGCTTGATTTTACTTGTACCATCATAGATGCATCATTGTTCACATTTATCTCCATATCATAATGGAATTTGCAATATTCCTTGGTTCACCTGAATGTGAGTGAATGAGGAAAATGTTTATTTTCGTCAGAGAAACCAAACAGAAGCTTTGTCACATTAAAATTATATGCAGAAGGCCCTGAAAGGTAGAAATACACTTGTATACAGCACTGCTAGTTGTCAGAATTTTCAAAGCTGTGCAATTGTCTTTTGTTCACAACATTCTATGACAACAATAATAATCCTCAGCCGAACATCAAAGATGAACACACCAGTTACCTCATGTACAAATCACAGAGAATATAACTTATGTTTAAAATTATTAATCTGGTTGCAACCTGGAATATATCACTTATAAATCTCCAAGCACCTTAATTTAAAACTCAACAATGCATAAAATAGATTTATACAAACACAATATACAGAGTCTAATATACTATACAAATGTTAACATGCTCAGACTTATCCTACACAGAAAGAGCATGTTTTGAATTCTCATTTTGGAAATGATTAAAGCAATACTGCTTTTTTTTTATTTTTGGAAGCATATCAATTATATTAATCATGTTTGAGTGGTAATTTGAAAACATGTTTATTTCAAGAAACAAAACAAAACAGATTTTGATGAATCAAACATTTAATTAACTTGAATGTATAGTTGTTACCAATAAACATAGGTTTATTACTCATAAAACCTATCAACAGTGCTGTAATCATCACTTCTTTATTTTAAAATCATTTTCAAGGCATCATATTTAATTTTTTTTTTTTATTTAAACAGGATGCTACTGACTGATTCAGTTTATCCATAATAATGAACCATGAACTATGTTTTGGCAATTTGTATCATATTAATACCGAGTCTAAATTTAATAACTTTGTGGCAAAATGGGCACAACACAGACAAATATATCATGTGATATATTCAAATAAGTTGTGGAATAATTTATTTTCGCTTGGAATTAATTTTTGCTATTTTCGCTGAAGGGATGAATCATTTAAAATAAAATTCAGCGAATATGCCTTTTTTCATATTTTTTACATTCAACATGTCAAAAATCTTTTTTTTCAGTGAAAATAAATTCCATACAAAACATCCAAAAAGTCTATTCAGCGAAAAATAATTCCAGCTAAAATAAAGTATTTTATAGTAGCTAGGAATATCATTTGTTTTTCAACAAAAATGAACTTCCTAGCTGCCTATTTGCATATGCATAATATGAGTATCCTAATATTTTACTGCATGTATGTTTGTTTGTTTGATACGACAAAGGTCATTTTGACTCTGTGAGACATAAATAATGACAACAAAATACAAAAAACTAGCTCACCGCATTGTAAATAAGACATAAATACTCAATGATAAGTTTTTCCCAGTATAATAATACCTTCATTCATCACAAATAATGCTACCGATTGTTTCACTAATGTACAATTAGGTCATGCCTACATTATATGATCCATCTTATGAGCTTACATAATACTTGGATTAATGGATTGGATTGAGTGAAAACAACAAATTTAGCATGAAAAATACAGACTGATTATTGCATTGATTAACTAAGTTTCATCTTTTCCAAATTTCAACTCCCAACCTCTAAAATGAATCCCTGAATTGAAGGAAAGGCACCAAATAAATATTATTTTTTTCACCCGTAGTAAAAATTATGCTTACCCCAATAAAAATGTAACAATCTAGCATAATTTAAACATTCTCAATTAATCTAAATCTTTCTTGAGAGCATTCACCAACCAGTCATCACTGAAGACGTCTCCTCCATCCTCATCGCTATCATCAATGTCATCTTCCAGGTCGTCTCTCTTCTGTAATAGTCTTGAATAACTCATCCTACGTTTACTTCTCGGTGCATATCGCATAATGATTAGAAATCCAAGAGCCCAGAACAGTGCCAGTAATGAAGCACTGCGAAAAAGTACTTGAGGACTGAATGTTTGATAAATCACACCACTGACTATGCTACCAATGCTGAATCCGATCTGCCAGTACATTGTCCAGAAAATATGTTGCAACAGGCGATCAAGTCCTGGCGGTGATGTTGATTCAGCATGACTCAATGCAGACAGTTGCAGCGATGCGATGCTAAACGCACTCAAAATTTCAATTGGGACCACAGCCCAAGGAGTCCAGAGAAATGAGTAGTACACATACTGTATGGACATGGAAGCCAGTGATATTGTCATAACCCCAGCCTGGGTGATTTTTTTAGTAAACCAAGGATATAAACAAAGCATGGGTATTTGCATAACTGCAGACATGGACACCGAGAGCCCCAGTGGAAGATCTGAGCTTCCCATATCGGCCAGAAACCAGAACAGAAATGAGAACTTTGATGCATTAATGACACCGGCTAAAAACATAGAAGTAACATATGCTATGTTGAACGAATCACTACACAAAAGTTTGACACATTTTAACAATTTATTTTGGCCATGTTCTTTACTTGGTGTGGATTGCATCGGGAAAAAGAGCACAATGAGAAACGCTAATCCCATCATTGCTGCAAATCCATAAAAATGAATCATGTAATTGCTGATATTGAAATTAAGGAAACAAGGTGAGTTTTCGATGATTATTGAAATGGTGGCTCCCCAAACAACGTAACCTAGAAGAGACCATAGTTTCTGCTGGCCATACTTTTCAGTATTGTCCACATCATCAAGATATCCAAAGAACGTGTCATCAAGTAGTTTTTCCATTGGTGACGCTAAAGCCTCACCAACAATACAAACAAGGAGTACAATAAGGAAAACTTTGTTGACATCATTTGTAATTTGGTTGGTGAACAACGTCTCAGTTATATCATAATTATCATGATCTTCAATATCACTTGACCTCCGAACTATGTTTCCCAAATTTGGATCAAATTGTTTGTTTCCAAGGACTTTGAACAAATCTGGGTCCTTCTCTTTCAACCACTGATAAAGAATATTTTCAGTTGCAGCTGATGTCGTTGTTTTTTGACTAGATTCCCATGGTTTTTTATTTGCCTGCAGGCCCACAACTTCAGTGTAAGCTGATGGTTCATGGTTAGTGTCTTCAGGTAGCGTTTCGGTTTCTAATTCTCGGTGAACATCATTGTGCATATCAGTCTGAGTATTGCTTGAGATTTCAATCCCGGAGACATTATTGCTCATTGTATTGTTAGTTCCTACAGAGGGAGCTACTGTTGCGGGTTTATCGCTTACGCTGTGAAACACAGTAGAAGGGATGCTAGTACTGTTGAGTCTACTTTGTTTACTTGTCTGCATATTCCATGACTGTGAATCATTATGATGACAAGACATCAAAACTGATTTTTGATTCACAGGAGGGATCAACATCAATGCAAGATGTGACGCAATCATCATAAAAAGTGAAAATATGATGACGATTTTGTACTTGTTGAATTTATGGGCACATTTGCTCCAAAGTGGTGTGAACGCTAAAGCTACTAATGCCTTACTGCAAATGATGATACCAGTGTGAGTTGGGGACAAACCCAACTGTCTGAAGTAGAGGGTTAGAAAAGGCAACAGACATGCTTTTCCAGAGTTGTATGTAAAGTAAAAGGCATTAGCGGCTGCCAGCGACTTGGTCAAATTTACTTGGTCTTGTTTTCCCATTGTGTTTTCTTCATCAGTCAACACTACCCAGTGCAATACAGGATCTTGTCATTTTTAATACCTAGCGCCCTCTTCTCGTAGTTACATCCCTGATGGAAAAAAGGATATAGATGAATTGTAAAAGTATGACTTGCATTTACATAGGGCTTGTTCATTACAAAAATGTATTCTTTAAAAATGCATTGCAAGCAAACATTACATTACTGTCTACAGCCCTTTAATTAAAGTTTTAAAACAGTTTAACAAAACAGAAAATTAGTGTGAACTTTAGAGGTTAGAAAGTACCAGGAAGTGTGACCTTCATACACATATAATTTTAATGTAATATCAAATAATTAGACGGTAATTTATTTGTTCTTTAACTATTTTTAATCTACACTTGTATTGTACATATATATTCTGATTTAGTCACTAAAATGGCCACCAAAATCAACCACATCCCAATAACGACTTTTAAGGTCTTTGAAAGATTGAGAACATGTAATTTTTAGAATTGTTGTTTGATACTGTATATTGATACACTAAACTCCAATTTATCTTGAAATGAAAACATTGTAGCACACATTTGAGTGTTCGTTTGATGAAACAATGTTTTCTAATATTAAAGCATGTGCACCATTTTTTCGGTACATATAATAACTATCACCAGTGTTCCCTCTAAGCCTTATTTTCGCTCAATTTTCTCAGATTCAATTGTAGTTTCTCAGTGAAATTTTGTCTTTTGAGAAACTTTCCATGCATTTTGTATGCAGAAAACATTTCAAAGGGAAAATGGGCAAATTTTCACAGTATTTTCAAGATTCAAAAAAATTAAAGGGAACAGTGACTATCACTGCACATGCACATTAGTGGTTTTGATTTTTCATCTAACGAATACTATTTTGTGTCCTGAAAATGCAACAGTGTATGATAAATCGTAATCAAACTTGCCCAAAAGTACAGAGTATCGAAAAACAATACTGGTACTGAAAAGTACATGTTTTCGTCCATATTGCATTTTCTAAAGACCCAATACACCACCTGCTGATGTTGTTTTTGCCTCATTCATTCCAGCAGCAGCTATCTACGCAGCCTTTCAGCAAGCTATGTGCTAATGTTAATGTCAAGTTCAACATTATGGGTTTGCAAGATAATGTAGATAATTTGAAAATTTTAAATTTGCGCAGAAATATTTTTGTTATGACGGGGTTGATTTACTCAGGAAATATGTTATCTTATTTTGGGTTAAGGCTATGCTAATAATAGAAATGATGTCATTATATAGTGCTGCATAAACAGCATATGAAGTGTGACAAAATCGTACAAGAATGGTTGAATGAAATATAACTGCCTTATTTTCTTTTTCGTCACCATGCCATGTGACACCAAAAACTTAAAATGTAAAACTTGGCGTGTCATGTTGTGTTCAATATGCATGTAAAAAAACACATTGTTTGTCTACATGAAATTTTAATTAATGTGCGCTTTGTGATGCACCAATGTAATATAATCCTTGGAAAAATATTAATAACATGAAGTAATGCTATGTGACGTGTGTTATTTGTAACTAACACTATCAATGCTATGTCTGCTTTAGAATAAGCAGTTTGTGTACACCAAAATATGTAAACTCTATTGCTGTTCCAGTTCAAATACTTTGAATACCTTTTTTATGGTTAAAAAAATTGTCATTTAATATCTGTGATGTGAACATTTTAGCTGTAAATATTACTTCTCCAAGTATAATTTATTATATTATGCATGTCATATTACAACACAGGATTACGTAAATTTTGGACTATAAATCACCCAGGATTAGTAAAATTAAAATTACATAAATAGATTTATCAATAATTTTGTATACAATGCACTGCACATAGCCATAGGATGGTTAATGTGTTATGATAAACGGGTTAAAAATCACTGACCGAGCCGATGTCACCAGGTGCATGATGACACGTACAAACATGTAGACCAATACCGTAATGAAAATCACATTCATAATTATAACACTTACTGATTAATGGAACGTCCGACACATCACCCACACTAACAACGACGTTGAAACAAGATCGCAATAATTTATGCATTAATATCATGAAACAATAGTTTATCAATCATTCGAATTGCCAACAGCAAATGAGAAATGGGACAACTGTTGCGATCCGCGGCACGAGATTAATAAGCTGACGTCATCCTTAAAATTGAAAGTACTTGGATGTTCTTTAATTTGACGCGCTGCTGTCTTAAAATCATCGAGTGTTGATCATTACTACATACCAGTTCAAGTCAAGGTACTCGTGTGGGCGTGTAGACGTAACTTCTGTTTACGTTTTCTCAGGTGAGCACACCTTGCAATTTAACTTGGCTGAACCGGAAGTGGATGTTACAATACGTACCACCTAACACAACGTGGTTTGGTTAATACTTAGTTATTGTAACTTGCGTGTGATCCGAGCTGTGCTCTGCTGTTTTTGTTTTAAAGCTGTAGATTCTGATTTATTTGATGTGGCACGTTTTTCAACAAAAATGTTCATTCTTACGGCAGACATGAAAGCACAGTATTATGATACTTTGGTCACAACTAAACACAACTTCGGGAAGTTAGAGGGCCACCTTGCCAGCGTGGAATCAAACATGGCGACAAAAATGACTTTGGGAGAAGAGGCTGCAGCTGTCGCGCCGGTTTCACCAACTAAAATTGAAAAGGAGATAGCCAAGAATAAACCAGCAAGCATGGAAGAGAAGTTCCATTCCGTAAGTTGTTGTTTTTACCTTTATTTACGTTTGCCATCGACATAAAAGTTGATATTCTTCATACGTGGCCGGACTACACCGTACTACATGTACTCTTCCTGGTCGGACCCATACCCGACCATGGATAACTCTGCTGTACTGTTTGTTTCTGTCACACCCTGTACGCCCTTTGTTATGGAAAAGTTGAAGTCAGAGTTATTTCTATTTAACAACTGTTCAGATAAATACAACTTTCTCCAAGTTTTTTTGTAGATTCTATAATTTGCTAACGTGAGATTATAACTTGCAATTTTTCGATTTACAATTTAAACATGTATGCAAAGACGGGTGTCAGCCTACCTCGACATGTCTGTGTTCTCAAACATACAGCTGGGCGTTGATTGCCACATCAGCACAACCAACTATATAACCCTCCTATCTTAAACAATATCAACTGTTAAAATTGCAAGAATTTAACGTAAAATTCAAGAAGTATTTCAGTATGTGTGTTCATTTATTCGTAAGGACAGAAATATATTTCAGTTATACTGGTATATACATATGCAGTATTATGCGTCCAATATCTTGTAAAGTATTTTGATGATTGATGTAGATATTGAGATTGTTTTATTGTAGCATTTAATTTGACAAAGAGTTCTTTAAGGCCTAACCTGAACCCTAACCCTACAGCTCTTAATGTAATTTAATATACTTGTCCGAATAAGCAAACGTTTATTTTCCATGATTTTGATGAGTTGAATGTAAAGTATAGGAAAAAGGTATTTTTGCTGGATTTTATTTTCACTGATCCATTCTTTCAGCGAAAATAAATTCCAAGTGAAAATAGTAATTTACAGAATTGTAAGTTGATTTGATGATTGCACATATATTGCAAATAAATCTTCTATTTATGCTAAAATAAAAATGACCTTACCTTTGGTACTGCTTGCACCTTCATAGTTAGCCTGATTTAACCCCACAGTACATTTTTATTTATCAGTCAGTAGATTAACACGAACAAATAAATTAGATTTTTGGTTTACTGATATTAATTCTGAGGCAGATTCTTTTTTGTTTGTATTCACATATTGTACTGTTTGTACTGTGGTATGTGTCATCACGTGAGAATATCCTATATGAAATCACTGCAGACTGACTGAGCACTACACATTTGTAAATACAATTAATAAATTGAATGGTGTTGAAAATAATAAAAAAAAATCACTTCTCAGTGCATGACCAGACTTGTTCAGTGTGTCACTAGGATTACCTTTATTTAAAATGCAAGGAAATCATTTTTACTTTAGAAGTCTGTGTACTGTATATTCTTTTCTTTAATTTCATGCTGATTTTATCAATTGAACTTGTACAGTATTAGCTCTATTAGTTGCATAAATTACAGAAGTGTTTCTGTGGTCAAAATAATTAATATTTGATTAATGATTAGTTTAAACTACTGTGATTTTTGGTTTATATGAGCTTCCAAAATGCACTGCTAATAATTCAAATACAATATTTGTTTTGTTATTTATCTAGAGGGGCATATTTAATTGAATTAGTACCTGGAGGGTTAGGATTAGGGTTAGGATTAAGGGTGGTGCATACAATGGAAGGTTTTTCCATGTATCATAACAATTAGGAGAATTCAATTAAATCCTATATGTCTTGTAATGCATATTTCTCATTCAGAAGCTTCCAATTACATTGATAGCATTCATGTAATATATTTTTTCTTCCACATGTTACATGTATAATTATATACACAATAAAATGGTATCATATTTTGCACATCACTACCATTGACTCAATAGCCTCAATGGGATTGTAGTGCACATCTGACACCAAATCAATTTCCTGGTCGAAAACATTTTTCTGAGTTGTCTATAATCAATTCATATCATTGTAAAAGTCAATTGAATGTTGTGTAATATCAAGTAATGATATAGAAGTACCAGTAGTCTGATTTCAACTCAGTGAAAACTTTTGATCATTTGAGGAGTTGATTGCTGTGCTGGTTCAAACATGGGTCAGTGGTTCTCAAAACAATGTGTGTATTCTGTCTGCTATTATAAAAGACTGACCATTGTTTATTTGAATAGTTCACAGAGGGCACTGTCTATATGCAAGCTTTGCATTAATGTTCTTAATATGGGGAATGTGTTGACATCATATTCAGTGTAACATAAAAAAAAACATGAAAATGCATTTCATGCTTTTCTCTTTTTCTGCTGTAAAATTGACAAATAGTTGTTATGTTAGGGGTACATCATGCTCACTTTGAGTCCCCTGCGGCTTGTGTACAAAATGTGTAAAATATATTACTTTCTTACACTGTAGGACTGCATGTATGATGACATCCAAACATGGTACCAGTACATTTTTGAATGTGTTAATCAGCCCATTCATATATAACCAGAGTAACTAACACTACCATAATTTTAGGGAGAACATTTTGCTATTATTAAAATTAAACTTGTATGTACCAGTACGTGTATTAGGTCTAATGGCACATAATTTCCTGTAGCATACAGGTTTTGATCTCATTTTAAAAAAAATGGAATGACAAATGTCGGATTATTTTGTGGTAACTATGGTGTTTAACAGGTTAATACTTACCATGCAAAATAATGTAAAACTTGTCAACTTTCATCATTGTTCTTATCTGTGAGAAACTTCTTTAGTTTAATTAAATGTACAGACAATTTGTGACTGAATTTTGCTTGGAAAACAAATTTGATTTGGGAAAGGTTTATTTACCACATTGCCAGCAACCTACTGCAAATACTAGAAGAAAACCGATTTGTCCCCATTGCTGTGACAGTGTTAAAATGTTGCAACTTGTGTACATTTCATTTCGGTACCATGAGACTAGTATAACCCTCACCACCTGTTGTAAATTATTTTATTATTGGGACATGTTTTTTAGCTCTGCTGTCGACTTTGTCGAGCAGAGCTTATCCTATGAGTAATTGTCCATCGTCTGCGACAACTTTTTACCTCTTCGATTTCTTCTTGAAAACTACAAGCCTGATTGCTTTGGTACTTGGTGTATATGTACCTTGGGTAGACCTTAGATTTGTGCATTTCTTGATGATATCTTTAATTTTCTGATTTAGATGAATATTTTATTTCAGCTGAGAGGCTGCTTGTTTAAATATTATTTTAAAAGTCTGTTGTGTTACTGTTAGTCTTATATGTTAGATTAGTGTCCCCTGTGAGTATTTAGCATTGTAAAAATACAGAATACGTAAATATTACTATAATTAATAATTATTAGAATTTTGTTATAACTGATATCTTGACTTTTGTTAAAAATTATATTAACGAATTGAGAATGCTGAAATCCACGGGCATTAACATTTTTTTTTTCTAAATTAAGAATTTTTTAATTTCAATGTTTGGTGGCAACTGTAACGTATTATTTGTATAATTAATTAATTTGCTCACAATTAATGTTTACATAATACATAATTTATGACTTTGTTTGCAGCTGTTTATTGACCCAGCG